GGGGGGGGGGGGCGGGGATCGCGCCCGGAGCCTGGGGCGAGACGAGGCAGGTCCGGTCCCCGCCCTCGCGGTGGCGGCGGCACCTCCCGCCCCCTTCACCCCCAGCTCAGGGCGGCACTACCGCTGGGCCCGCCCCATTGGCGCCCGCGGAGACCCAGGCGTCCCGCGTGGCCCGGAGGCTTGGGGGCGACTCCCCTGCTTTCATTTTCCCTCTTGGGCATTAGACTTGTGGGTCTCTGGCCCATTTGTGCACCCAGTTGCCGCTTCAGCCGAATGACACCCCTACCCTCCCACATCTCCGTCTCACATTTTCCGTCGTAGCTTCACCTTGGTTGTAGAGATTTTTCCAACACTGATACCTTCAATCTCTCTTCATTCCTCTTCTGCCTCCATCTCGCTCCCAAACGCTATGTCACTCTTCCCTGTGTGTCTCTGTCTCCCATCTCTGCCGTTCCATCTCTCCCGCATCACCGTTACTCTCTCTGTCCCAGTCTGGGTCTCCCAGTTTCTGTCTCTCCATCTCTTCCCTCTCTCTCGCTTTTTCTCCTCCATACCCTACTCTCCATCTCCCTCTGTCCGTTCCTGCCCCTTCTATCTCTCTTCTTCCCTATCTGTCTCCCAGGCCTGGGCTCTACCCTTCCTTTGGGGTCTGCTGAGTAACTCCTGGGCCAAGATAGGGCTTTTTTTGTGCGGGGCAGGGGCTAGCCCAGCTAGAGAGGGGAGGAGTAGGGGAAGGAGGCCCACAGAAGGGGCTTCCTCTGTCCTTTCTCATCGGATGTCTCCACCATTTCCATGCCCCCACTGCAGAGGCCTAAAGCAGCTGTCCCAGTTGATCCAGGAGTTCATGGCTTGCCCCCCTCTTTCCAAACCCCAAACTTTTCCTAGACTAGAAAACTTCCTAATTTTCTCTGTTCCCCTTCCCCCGCCCCCGAAGCCATTCTTACCTAGAATGAACTTTGCCTTTTCTAACCAGCTGGGGAAGGAAACAATAATAATAACAAAAACAACAACAACAAGAGTAATGTCCCATTAGCAGGGAGGCAGCATAACCTAGGGATTAAGAGCACAGTCTCTGGAATCAGACTGGCTGAGTTTGAATCCCCACTCTGCAGCTTCTTGTCTGCGTGATCTTGGGGCAAATTGTTTGATCTCTTTGCCTCAGTTTTCCCATCTATAAAACAGGTATACTAATAGTATCTTCCTCATGGGGTTGTTGAACACACACATTAGAGTAAGCATTGTATGCAGACTCTGTGCGACATACTTTATCTGCATCATCTCGCTTATTTCACACTATCAACCTGTAATCAGTCCTTGTCTTACAGGTGAGAATCTGGCACACAGAGAGGAATTCACTTGCCCAAAGTTCCAGCGCTTCAGTTAGGAGGGCCTGGGTTGGGAGACAGAGAACTTGATGTCAGGTTGATCTTTCCCAAAGAATAGGAAACTGAGGCTCCGAGAGGGCTTGTGACTTGCCCAAGAAAGAAGGCAGTAGAGGCACAGTCCGATTCAAATGCCCTTGATCCCTGTGCTGCGACATAACTTGCGTTTGAGGCTCCAGGTGCCGGGGAGGCCTAAGCAGGCAGAGCAGTGCCCACCCCTGTGCCAGCTTTGTACTGAGGGGGCACTTCCCATTTGATGGGAGGGAAGGGTGGATAAGATCCCGTTTAAAGAGGTGGAAACAAACCCAGAGAGGAGAAGCCAGTCACCTAAGGTCACACAGCTAAAACGTGTTAGGGTTAGACTCCAACCCAGGGCTCTTTGACTTGGGGTGCGCCAGCTCCCCCGCCCCTGTCAAACCCTGACATCCCCCCTCTCGGCTCCTTCTGCCTAGAAATCTATGGGAAAATCAGGCGTAGCCCACACAGCCTGTTTATGCTCTTCAACACGTCGGAGCTCCGGGAAGCGGTGCCCGAACCTGTGTTGCTCTCTCGGGCAGAGCTGCGCCTGCTGAGGCTCAAGTTAAAAGTGGAGCAGCACGTGGAGCTGTACCAGGTGGGGGCGAGGGCCCCAGAGGTGGCCTGGGCTGGGGCGGCTGGAAGGCTGGTGGCTGCAGGGTCCATAGTGACCGATCCTGAAGACACAGACTGTGGAATCCCAGGGCTCTGAAACTTTCAGACTCCTAGAGCCCTAGAAGGTTAAACGTTTAGAAGGCCGGAGTCATAGGATTTGGACTCTAAGAACTCAGGACTTTTGAAAGTTTGAATCTCTGTAAAGGTTGCAGACTTTCAAAGGGCTGTGTCCCCACACAGTAGCCACTAGCCACATATGGCCACTTAGGTTGAGCAAAATTAAATAAAAGAAAAAATTCAGCTCCTCAGTCTCACTGGCCATAGTTCAAGTGGCCTGTAGTCACATGGGGTTAGCAGCTGCTATTTTGGACACCACAGATAAAGAACTTTTCCATCATCACAGAAAGTTCTCTTGGTTAGCTCTTTTCTAGAAGAGTCTCCAGGAAGATTGGAGCCTCAAAAAGTTCTGGATTCTCTTGAAGGTTATGTGACCCAGAATCCCTGTCATGTGGAACGTTAGATTCAGTAGTAGGTGTTAGACTCTTGCAACGAGGGAACTTTGTCTGATGTTAACTTCTTGGAGTCTAGAGAATTCGCTTTTATCCTGCCAGCTCCCAGGGGATCATTCCACATGGATGTCAGGCGTCTGCAGCGTCTAGGTTTGTGGCATGTCAGACTCGTGGGTTTGTAGAGCATGAGTCCTCTGGAATGTCTCAGGCTCATTGAATGTGTAATTCTTGGGGTGCCACTGAGCACTGGCATTATGGAATGACTTCTAACATAGCTTCTAGAAAGTGATAACTCGGGGCTTCTCTGGTGGCGCAGTAGTTAAGAATCTGCCTGCCAACGCAGGGGACACGGGTTCGAGCCCTGGTCCGGGAAGATCCCACATGCCGCGGAGCAACTAAGCCCATGCGCCACAACTACTGAGCCTGCACTCTGGAGCCCGCGAGCCACAACTACTGAGCCCGTGTGCCACAACTACTGAAGCCCGTGCGCCTAGAGCCCGTGCTCTGCAACAGGAGAGGCCACCACAATGAGAAGCCCGTGCACCGCAACAAAGAGTAGCCCCCGCTCGCCGCAACTAGAGAAAGCCCACGCGTAGCAACGAAGACCCAACGCAGCCAAAAATAAATAAATAAAAAATAAATAAATACATTTTTTTCAAAAAAGAAGGAACGTGATAGACTCAGAATTTGGGGGGCCAAATCTGCAGAACTGTCTATAGTCAGTGACCCCTACGATGTCAGTAGGAGAATCGTGGCATCGTGGGCTGTCCAAGCTGAAAGGGGCCGCCTGGCATTTCATCAGTGAGGAAACCAAGGACAAAAGGGGAGAGGAATTTTCCACGGCCACGCCGGGGTCAGGCATAGAGGATGAGCTGCCCAGGTGCCTTGACCCCCCAGCCTGGGGTTCTCTCTCCGCTCTGGGCTGCTGTGGGGTGGGTGGCTCCTGTGGGCCTCTCGGTTTGGGTGTCTGGGAGGGGACAGTCTGCAGGACTGTGTGGAAGCCCTTTTCGGGGAGCAGATGGACTCAGGGGTGCCGTGTACATGAGGGGTGTGTGGCAGCGTCTACCCACTGTCTCTCCCCCCAATTCATTATCCCCCAGAAATACAGCAATGATTCCTGGCGCTACCTCAGCAACCGGCTGCTGGCCCCCAGCGACTCGCCCGAGTGGCTGTCCTTTGATGTCACTGGAGTTGTGCGGCAGTGGCTGACCCACGGAGGTGAGGACTGCTTGTCTGCCCCACCCCTATTTTTTGTGTGTTTTCTGGCCGCACTGCGTGGCATGTGGGATCTTAGCTCCCCGACCAGGGGTCGAACCTGCAGTGGAAGCGCGGACTGTTAGCCATTGGACCACCAGGGAAGTCCCCCCCAACCCCTATTTTGTAATGGGGTTGACCCCATTGTTTGTCCTGGGGCTCCCCTGCCTAGCACCGCCCACCCCATGTTGGTGCCAAAGAGCCCAGACCTGGGCCTCCTTCCAGGCACTCAAACCTGAGTGATTAATGGTAAATCCATTTCCTGAGCACCTGCCCTGTGCTGGGTGATGCAGGGGACACACAGTAACCAAAACAGCACCATACTTGCCCTCATGAAGCTTATCTATCATCCATTGCTCGGGTTAAGGGATTTGGGGGAAAGACCTGAAAACCAGGTAGTAATGTCCCAGAGTGGGCAGGGTTGGGAGGGGGAGCCCAGAGGAGGTGCCTGACCCAGCCTGGGAAATCAGGGAGGGCTTCCTGGAAGAGGGGACATTAGAGCGGTTGTCTGAGGGATGAGTGGAGCCAGCCTGGGGAAGACGGAGGGGCAAGAGTGTTCAAGGCAGAGGGATAGGCTATGCAGAGCCCTCGAGTCCAGGGAGAGGCTGACACACCTGATCTGTCTGGAAGAGGACTGTCTGTCCTGTCCCATCTGAGTCCACAGTACCCACATCTCCCTTCCTAGTCTCCCTCTCATTCATTCCTTCACTCAGTAGATGCCAGTAGGTTCCTGCTATGTGCCTGGCCCTGTGTGGGTGGTGTGGGGGACACAGTGGTAACCATGACAACTTCTAGGCCTGCCTTCATGGGGCCCACAGTCACTTCTAGACACCTAGGAGATCTTGCCAAAGCCCTAGCAGGGAGCCCGCCTGACTCCCATTGTGATGGCCACAATGACCAGGGCCGGGATGGGGGAGGCCATAAGTGCTGTGGGAGCCGGGAGTGGGCATCCAAACCCATCTGGAGGGGTCCAGGAGGGCTTCCTGGATGAGGATGATTGTGTTGAGCCTCATGAGATAAGTGATGGTTTGGCTAGAGGAAAAGATGGGGGTTAGGGAGCAGGTGAGCACTGGGACAAGTGTCCTGGGCTGATTGCTGAGTCCAGAGCCCCCAGCACAGGGTCCAACACATAGTGGGAGCTTAGAAAGGCATTCACTCATTTATTCAAGAAAACTTTCTTCCACACTGGCCCTGGGACAAGAGCCCAGGCACTTGCATCCCAGCCCTGCCTTTTCCCACTTTGGGCAAGTCACCCCCTCTCCATGGGCCTTGGCTTCTTCATCTGTAAAATGGGGAGCTTTGGTGAGGATTAAAGGAAATAATACACAAAAAGTGTTTAGAACAGGGTCTGGCACCCAGTGCGAACTCAGGAGATGTTTGTTTTTATGACTGTGGGCCAGGCCCAGTGGGGAACAAGAAAACAAGGATCCCTGCCCCCACGTATCCTGCTTTGCCACTGAGAACAAAGAGGGAAATAAATAGCCAGATACAAATGTCAGGGTAAGTGCTATGGAGAAAATAAAGTGCTGTCATAGTGGGGGAGGGGCTGTGTCCTGGAGGGCTTCCCGGAGGAGGTGACCTTTGAGCTGAGACCTGGAGGAGGAGGAGGCTGCAAGGCAAGGACTGGAGCACGAGGGTGCAGTGAGAGGCCAGGCAGGGGAAGGGGCAGGAAGGAGGTCCCCCCACCCCCAGCCTGGGGGTTTGCTACTTCCTTTCTCCTCCCCCAGGGGCTGGGCGAGCCGGCCCCTCACACTGGCTTCCCTCTCCCCACTCCCACAGAGGAAATAGAGGGCTTTCGCCTCAGTGCCCACTGTTCCTGTGACAGCAAAGATAACACGCTCCAAGTGGACATTAACGGTGAGGCCCACCTCCGCGGCCCGGCCCCACGCCCACCAGTGATGTGTGTGTGTGTCTGTGTGTGTGTGTGTGTGTGTGTGTGTGTGTGTGTGTGTGTGTGTTTTTTCTCCAGTGCCCACTGTTCCTGTGACAGCAAAGATAACACGCTCCAAGTGGACATTAACGGTGAGGCCCACCTCCGCGGCCCGGCCCCACGCCCACCAGTGATGTGTGTGTGTGTCTGTGTGTGTGTGTGTGTGTGTGTGTGTGTGTGTGTGTGTGTGTGTTTCTTCCCCTTGACCATCTCCCATTCACCCATCTGAGAGTGTGTGTATGTCTCCCCCACCCTCCCCACCGCCTGACTCCCAAACCAAAGCAGGGTTCAGTTCCGGCCGCCGGGGTGACCTCGCCACCATTCACGGCATGAACCGGCCCTTCCTGCTCCTCATGGCCACCCCGCTGGAGAGGGCCCAGCACCTGCACAGCCCCCGGCACCGCCGAGCCCTGGACACCAACTACTGCTTCAGGTGAACCTTGCAGCCTTCCCCTGACGCCTTCTGGGCTGGGGGCCTCCTTGCCGTCTGCTGAGCGGGCACCGCAGATTGGGCACCTGGCTGGTGCTATGCTTGGGCTGGCATCTCCTTCAGCCTGGAGCGTTCAGGGGATGAGGTCCGAGGCCTAGGATGCTGGGATGTGCGAACTGGGAGTCCTCGAATGCTGAGATCAGGTGGCTGTCTTGCTGGTGGGTTTCAGTCAGAGACTGTTAGAATGTTGAACACTGAGAATGTGAGAATTCAATATTGGAAAGTCGCCACGTTAGATTCCTGTACTGCTGGCAGGTTGGGGTTCGAGCATGTGGGGATTCTAGGATGTTAGAATCGGTATTCATTATTGAAATTTGAGAATGTTGGACTCAAGGGATATTGGGATCCTAGAACTTGGGAATTCAGAACTGGAAGAGTGCCCCTGTTGGATTCCTATACCATTGACAGACTGGAGTCTCCCGTATCGGCAGATTGGAGTCCTTGAATATTGGGCCCAGAATAGTGGAATCCTGTGTTAAAATATTAGCATCCACAAATGTTGGAGTTGGGGAAAGCCAGAGTCTTGGTAACCTAGAATGTTGGGACTCAGGGCTGGAATCTTGTGAGAATCTTGGAAGCCTGTGATCTTAGAAAGTGGCAGTTTGGACCTCTTGAGTGATGGGCTCAGAATTGTGGAATGTTGGAATGCAGTTTTTTTTGTTTTTTTTTTTGCGGTATTCGGGCCTCTCACTGTTGTGGCCTCTCCCGTTGCGGAGCACAGGCTCCGGACGCGCAGGCTCAGCGGCCATGGCTCACGGGCCCAGCCACTCTGTGGCATGTGGGATCTTCCCAGACTGGGGCACGAACCCGTGTCCCCTGCATTGGCAGGCGGACTCCCAACCACTGCGCCACCAGGGAAGCCCTGGAATGCAGTTTTGAAATATTGGAATTCAAGAATGCCAAGATCTTGGAGAGCTGGAATGTGGGAATCCTAGAAAGCTGGAAAGCTGTTGGTGTGTTAGAATCTTGAGAGGCTGGTGTATTGCAGTCTCAGAAAACTGAAAAGTTGTAGTCCTAGAATGTTGAAATTCAGAGTTAGAATGTTGTGAGTTTAGAGTGATAATGTGACCTTGGCCCTCCCCTGCTTAATATTTTGATGGTACCTTTGGGCTTTGTTACATGCAGTTCTCCTGCTGGCAAGTCAGCTCTGCTCCCAAACTGCTTCACCACCAGATCCTACCCTCTGCCCAACAATCCTGTGGATGAATGAATGGATTGAGGTCTTGAGTGCCAATAGCTTATACTATTACAGAGAGAGTGCCAGCCACATGAGGGACACAATGTCACTTAGGAAGTCTTGCCAGAAAATCAAACCTGACGCTGATCAGTACGGTAGATCCAATTTTCCAGAAATACAAGAACAGAGAAATATGTTAAACAACACCATGGTCGTGCAGTCAGCAACATCTAGATTGTGGGAAACCTGACCCAGTTTCTTCAACAAATACAATACAAAGTGGGGAAACAGAGAGATGGTTCTGTAGACTTTAAAAAAGAATATTAAAATATGTATCAAATAATTGCCATGTGTAGACCGTATTTGGGTCTTTTTTTTTTTTTTTTTTTTTTTTTTTGGCCCGAACAAATACAATACAAAGTGGGGAAACAGAGAGATGGTTCTGTAGACTTTAAAAAAGAATATTAAAATATGTATCAAATAATTGCCATGTGTAGACCGTATTTGGGTTTTTTTTTTTTTTTTTTTTTTCTTTTTTGGCCCGAGCCACGCAGCATGTGGGATCTGAGTTATTCCCTGACTGGGGATCACACTGTTGCCCCGTGCAGTGGAAGTGCAGAGTCTTAACCACTGGACTGCCAGGCAAGTCCCCCAAGTGGGTTTCTTTTACTCGTCAGGCCCTGTTGGGTCCTGGTAGACTGGAGGGCAGAGTTGCAAGGGCCTGGACTGCGTGTATCACAGGACCTGGAAAGCAGCAGGCCCCAGGCATGCACCTCAGGGTCACCTGGAGGGCTTGTTAAATGTGGCCTGCTGTCTCCCACCCATCCCCACCCCCAGTTTCTGATTCAGTGGGTCTGGGGTGGGGCCTGAGAATTTGCATTTCCCACGATTTCCCAGGCGGTGCTGCTGCTCCAGGGACCCTACAGGGAGAACAGTTGAATTGGATAATAGAATCACACACTTCAAATCTTAGGACCTCAGCACGCTGGCACAGTTGGACCAGAAATGGAAGATTATTCTGGACAGTGGTTCTTCCCCTTTTGTGAGTCTGAGAACCCCTTGAGAAGTCGAAAGCCAGGAACCTTTTTTCCCCAGAATATGCCTATATATGCACACGTAGGTGCATATGGTTTGGGGGACTCAGGCCCCTCCCTCAGCCCATCCATGGATTTCCTGATGCCTCCTGGGCCCTTAACAACATCTTATTTGATCCAACATCCCTTGCATCTTTGTACAAATGAGGGAACTGCGGCCTAGCCAGACTAGGGAGGCGCCAGGCTGAACTCACAGGAATCTAAGTTTCCTAACTTCCTTCTCAACGTCCTGTGGCTCTTGGGAGAGGCCTTGTCTTGCCCTGGGAGATCCTGTCACATTGCCTCTTCCCCCTCTGCTTAAGCTGACATGGTTGCACTGGGCAGATGAGGCCATAGACTCCAGGGCAGCACAGAGTTAGCTGTGAACCTGGCCCCAAACTCCACCACATGTAGGCTACAAGTGAACAGACAACATCCCCCTTTCTCTGAGGCTCAATTTCTTCATCCTTCAAATGGGAATAATAATAAGGCCTGCCCTGTAGGGAATTCTCTATTGATATTTTCTTTTGGCCGCACGGCACACATCCGGGATCTTAGTTCCCTGACCAGGGATCGAACCCGTGCCCCCTGCAGTGGAATCATGGAGTGTTAACCAGTGGACCGCCAGGGAATTTCCGCTATTGATTTTTTTTTCCTCTATTGATTTTTGAGTAGGAAAATGCATGCACATGGATCAAACCCAGAAAGGATACTCAGAGACCCTCCAGCTCCAGCCCCCAGCCCCTCTGTGAGGAGGCTTTTATTGTATTTCTGTCTCCTCCCAGAGAGTCTCTATATGAGATACTTACACATAGCCATGTAAATGTTTTTTATTTTGTCCAAATGGTATAGTCCTTTTTTTTTGGGGGGGGGGGTACTGCATTTTCTTTCTTTAAATTTTATTTTCTGATTCTAAAAGTAACACATACCCACTATCGAGAATTTGGAAAATACAGAACGATATCACTCATCACATTGCCACATATGAAATGTCACTGTCAACATTTTAATACATTGCCCTCCAGTCCTTCTATTCAAAAGAGAATTTGAATCATACTGTACCTGTAACTTTGCATAGTGTTTCTTTCATATGTTATGAACATGGAATTTAAAGTGTTCTCAGCTGCCCATGAGTCAAGCTTTTTAGTTACGTTCCCAGCCCATCTCAACCATGGCCCCAGGGGCCAGCACAGAAAATGCCCCATTTCCTTCCAGACATGAAGGAGCCAGGGCCGCAGACTGGGGAGGACTGACTTTTACATCTGAGCCTGGGACAGAGATCATGAGTCCAGGGCAGTAGAGTCTTACATACGACCACTCTCCAATGTGCTTTTATTTTTTATTTTGTTTTGTTTTGTTTTTTAAAAAGTATTTATTTTTTTGGCTGCATTGGATCTTAGTTGCGGCGCACGGGCTCTTTGTTGCGGTGAGCGGGCTCTTCGTTGTGGCGCGCGGGCTGGCTTCTCTCTAGTTGTGGCGCCTCAGTAGGCTCTAGAGTGTGTGGCCTCAGTAGTTGCGGCGTGCAGGCTTAGTTGCCCCGCAGGATGTGGGATCTTATTTCCCCGACCAGGGATCGGACCCACGTCCCCTGCATTGGGAGGAGGATTCTTAACCACTGGACCACCACGAAAGTCCCTCCAAGGTGCTTTTAAAAGACCTAACATACTGATCAATTATCTTATACAGCCAGTACTTGCTAAGCACCTGCTATATGCCAGGCACTGTTGCAGGGACACATTTAGGGACAAAATAGACAAAAAGTCCTGTCCTCAGAGGAAGACAGAAAACGAACAGATAAATAAATCGGTGTCTAATAAAAGAGCAGGTGGCAAGAAGGAAAACAAATCTAAGGAAGGGGAAAGAAAGAAGTCATTGTGATGATTTATTTTTCCTCTCCTGATTTAAATTTTTTTTATTAGGGGAAACTTTAAATGTATTCATAAGCAGCCAAGATGGTACAAGGAACCCCCATGAACTCTCATCCAGTATCAACAAGTATTAAGATTTGCCCCATTTCAGCGGCAGTCATTTTCATGTTTTCTCACATAACTGAATGCTGTTATTACACTGTATGGAATTAACGAACATTTGAATTGGTATTTTGGGTAGGATGGTCCAGGAAGGACTCTGAGGTGACAACATTCATTTGTTTGACTGATATTTATTGAGCACCTACTGCATGCCAGGCAGTGTTCTAGGAGTTAAGGGTCCCTGAGTGAGGGATGTTTGAGCATACATACAAATGGAGTGAAGAAACAGAGCCAGAGTGGGTATCTGTGGGAATAGCAAGCCAGGCAGAGGGAACAGCAAGTGCAAATGTCCTGAGCTGGGACTCAGGAACAGCGAGGATGGTAATGTGGCTGAAGGAGAGCGACAGTGGGAGTGGGGAGGGAGTTGAGATCAGCCAGATCTGGTAGCGCCTTGTGGTCCATGGCGAGGGCTTGGGCATTTGCCTTGTTCAGAGTAGAGGAGCGACGGACAGTCTCTAGTATGTGGCCGCACAAGGCAGGGATTTCTGTCTGTTTCGTTTGTACTGCGCCCCCAGTAGACCGCAGCCCAGCACATGGTAGTAGTTCAGTAAACATTTGTTGCACACATAGAACACATCAGTACACATGAAGCTGCATTGCGTTTTTCATGTTCCAGTGTGTGGATGTGCTGTGATTTGTGTAGCCCCCTCTGGGCGTTCATTTGGCTTCTTACAGGCTTGAGCATTGCCTGAGATAATGTTTATGAGGATGCCCTTAGCGCAGTGCTGGACTAGAGGAAGTGCTTTATCAGTGTTAGTGATGATCATTACTATTACTGTTATGGCTGTTATCATCACAGGGGTTGCAAGGGAGACCAAGATGGAGACCATGCTGGCGGGCAACCAGGGTGAAACACATGCACAGCCGGGGGAGGAGGGGCACCCCTCCGCTCTCCTGACTCGGGTTCCTCCCTCCCTCCGGCCTGCAGCTCCACGGAAAAGAACTGCTGCGTTCGGCAGCTCTACATTGACTTCCGCAAGGACCTGGGCTGGAAGTGGATTCACGAACCCAAGGGCTACCACGCCAACTTCTGCCTGGGGCCCTGCCCCTACATCTGGAGCCTGGACACGCAGTACAGCAAGGTGCGTCTGGAGCCCTGGCTGGGGGTGGGATGAGGGTAGCAGGAACCGAGGGAGGAGAGGGAGAAAAAGAGGTAAAATCAGATGAATTGGCGAGATAGTAGTCAGAAAGAGAGGAGACAGGGAGATTGGCGGCGAGGTGGCAAAGGGATGGGAGAGAAACTAGAGGCAGGGTCTGAGCAGCTAGAGACACGAGGCAGAGGGAGACAGAGATATGGGGAGACCCATGGAGATGCATAGCTTGGGCTAGGGAAGAGGTGGGGAGATGGAAGGAGAAAGAGAGAAACGGAGGGACACAATGAGAGAGAAAAAAAGGCAGGAGGATAGAGAATCAGGAAGATGGAAGGAGAGAGAAAGACAATGAGACACAAGCCAAGAGTGGAAACTGGGGAGAGGCAGAGAAACGGAAAGAAACGGAATGAGATAAGACAGACGGAGATGGGGAGAGGCTGGCGGGGTGGGGGTACCCTCCCCATGACCCCCGACCCTGACCCCGCCCACC